AAACTATATTGAGTTATTGGGCAATGGCTAAAATTCTTCAGCAAGGGGTTGAGCCCTTTTCCTTTTCATCATAGCCCAAAGTGTTAGAAACTAATGTCACAAATGGCATTAAATTCCAACAGAACCTATAGTGAACACTAGACTTTAAAATTATCTCAAACTGAAGTTTCACTTTTCATATTTATCTTCTTTATTTTACATCAAAACTAATGGGTAATCAACATTTAAATCTAAATAGTTATATAAACAATTTACAAAAATTCATAACTTTAATACAATTCCAATAGAAAAAAATGTATTTTTAGTTCAATCTTTCGCAAAGAACTCAAATTTCTCATTATTTTCAAAGTTGTCGATCATCAAAATCAATATCTTCTCCTTGAAGATTAATAAAGATAATCATAAATACTATATGCATTTTTTAATATATGTTGCTGTATAAATTTTCATAAGAATTAATTTTTGATCCAGGTGTTTAATAGTTTATCACTTTTTATGCCCTTATTGATTGATCTTGAGCCTTTGAATGTATGTTAATTATTTTTTATATTATTAGATTACAAGAATGATAAGAATGTGTTTGATTGACATTGAAAATATATCCTAAAAAAGAAAATATTTTCCTTGTTTTGAGGAAACAAAAACATACTCCCCCAAAAGAAAATGTTTTCCTTAAAAATAAGGAAAATCAAGCATATTTTTAAAAGTTGAAAAATATTTTTCATATAAAAAGATATCAATCAAACACTTCAAAGTAGAAATTTGGGTGGAAAACTGACATTTTTCATGGAAAATATATGTAATCAAACACACCCTAAGTTATTTCAACTCTATTTTTATCTATTTTTAATTTGACAAGTGATTTCGTACTTTATTTTTGCAAATTTTCAATATAAAGAATTGATTAGTTCGGTTCCGATTCTATAATTAGATATGAAATTAATAAATCCATTTCTAAAATGGAAAAATTCAAATCTCGGGTATTATGTCAATTCAAAATTCAGACAGTAAGTCAGAATTTCCAAAACTCATGTGATAATTAAAAATATTTTATTAATTAAATATATTAATGTCATAATTATACAATTAATGATCACAATTACATACTTATAGGTCACAACTTATTTATTTATCACATATTATCAAATTAATTGGTCACAAATTAAAAATATTATAATTCACAAAATTTATTTATTGGTAACAAATTATAAATTTTATAGGTCACAACTTATTTAATACACAGATTTTCAAATTAGTTGGTCAAAATTATTTTTCAGTTACAAATTATAGAATTTTTAGGTCACAATTAAATAGTTGATCACAAATAACCAAATATTTGGTCACATACACCAAACACCCCACCCTCACCCATAGACCGTGATCAATTTTTTTTTTAACAAGTGAATATGTTGTCCCACTCGTACCTCATTGGACGCAAGATTGAATTGTTTTTGTGGTCACAATAAACAAGTGAATATATTGAGGTAGACTTTATCGGCGGTGGCTTATCGTAGCACTACGAATCGGAGTCCGGGAATGGATATGACGATCATTAGCAATGGCTTGGAATATTCCACTAACATAGATGAAGTTATTGGTATCATCACAATGGAAGCTCGACAGTGGTCTTCGACAGTGGGTGTGACGGTGCCGAAGGTGTTGGTTAGGTGGAGAGAACGCGAGGAGAGAAGATGGAGAGAAATTAATTTTAGGGTTTGAGATTGAATTTGAATTGGGTAGGATATATTTTATATTATTAATATTAATAGTTAAATTAACACATGATTTATGATTAAATAAAGTGGTAATTACACCAAACCATATTTAAATATTCAACTTTCTGAAATCAGATTGAAAGTTTGATATTTCAAAAATTAGAAGTTTTTTTTTATATTGATTATTTTAAAAAATCTTGACCCTAATTAATTCTACTTTCTTATCTCTCTCTACATTTCTCAACTCTCTCTCTACAACCATCATCTCTCATTCCCATAACCACCACAATCTCTCTCTATACCTTCATTCTCTCTCTCCCTCCACTACAGCGGCGTCTTTATAGCGCGCGATCGACAGCAGCGTGCGGTGTTGGGTGTGGCGATGGGTGCGGCTATAGTGGTGTTGGGTGCAGTGATGGGTGCGGTGTTAAGTGTGGTGATGGCGGTGGATTTTGTTGTGGCGGTGGCGGCGAGGGTAAGGTGTTGGTATGGTTTTTTATTAACAATGAATGGGTGTTGGTTGGAAATGGTGGTTGTGGTGGAGATGGTGGGGTGGCGACGACGGCAGTGCGGTAATGGCTTTTGTGGTGGTGGTGGTGGGGTGACGAGATGGCAGTACAGTAGTTTTTGTGATACAAGTGGCGGTCAACGGTGGTGGTGGTGGTGGTGGTGTCGGTGTTAGTGGTGGTTGTAGTGGTGGCAGCGACGACGATGCGGCTGGTGGTAGTGGTGAGGTGGTGGTCACAAAAAAAATCGCATAAGGACTAACTGTGAACTTAAAATACGACAATTTGTGACTAAAAATTAATTTGTGACCAATAAATTTGAAAATATATGACTGATAGATAACTGTGACCTCTAATTTTTGGATCTGTGACCAATAAAATAATATGTGACCTATAAAACTATTGATTTGTGACCTCGAAATAATTCGTGGCCTACAAAATTTTTGATCTGTGACCGATAAAAAAATTCGTGACCTATAAAATTTTTGAATTGTGGCCAAAGAAAAATATGTGACCTATCAATTTGTGACCGATGAACAAATTGTGACCTACAAAGTTTTTGAATTGTGATCGTAAAATAATTTGAAAAATGAAAATTCTAATTTGTGACCAAAAATTAATACGTGACTAACTAAATTGTGAATTGATGACCAAATTGTGTATTTCTGTGACTTTAATATATTTAATTAATTAAATTATAAATAAATTTTAATAAAAATCTGATTTTTGAAATTTCAAACTTGTTTTCTTAGTTTTGAAATGTGCTACACTTATCCTCTTAATTGTGAAAATTTGATTTTTGAACTTCGATTTTGAATAGTCTAGTATAAGGGAAAAGTTTATGGCTCAGGTATTTAGTTTCACATTTGAAAAAATCAGGTACTAAATTTTAAAATTGTAAAAATCAGGTTTCTACTTTTTATTAATTAATTAAATATTTAATTGTGTAATTTGATAGCGTATATCTTATTAATTAGTTAAAAATTAATTTCAAGTCACAACTTATCAAATTAATTGGTCTCAAATTATTTCGAGGTCACAGATGAAAAAATTTATAGCTCACAGATAACTTCGTTGGTCACAAATCAAGAATTTTAAGGTCACAGGTAATTTTTTATAGGTCACAGATTAAAAAAATTCAAAACTTTTACGGGTCACAGCTCTATTTCAGCGAGTCACAGTCCCAATTTCTAGGTCACGGACACCCACACAGGTC